ATAAATTACTTAACATTTCTTTGTTTTGACTACAGTGAACAAAACGGTGAAGCAGAACTTGGACTGTAGATTGTTCCACTGCCTCTCTTCCTCTACATCAGTATCGAAGTTTCCTCATTACATTCACATCACGTTCATGTTAAAAAGTCATTTTCAGCACGGAATATAACGTGCTAAGTGTAGCTGCGCAGCTTTGAACAAAGTGTATCAATCAATCATTTATCTAGAGGCGAGGTTTGTTTTTCAACATTCACGTCGGATATATCTCTCCCATTGCGAATTTTAAATTGGTGTAAGCTACCTTTATGGCCGTATGATATTAAGATATGCCGAGTTTTTGAATAAGACCATTTGCGTTGTATAAGTCACGTGACCATCTATAATGCCCTCTGCTTATTTATTCTACTATGCTATGAAATTTATTTCATTAAAGAGGTACATGCATTTAATAATATAATATACTTTTGGGGAACCAAATCAAACCAGATTGTTTATACTTTAGATAATGCATAGCTATAGTCAATCTCTGTATGAACATTTCAAAATTGTGCCATAATGGAACGAGCGTATTAGCAACAACAACACAATTCCGACCATTGAAAGCGTCAAAATATACGCAGTACTTTGCGTGCGATGTGGGACACATGCGCAGTACTTTGCGTGCGATGTGGGACACATGCGCAGTACTTTGCGTGCGATGTGGGACACATGCGCAGTACTTTGCGTGCGATGTGGGATACATGCGCAGTACTTTGCGTGTGATGTGGAATACATGCGCAGTACTTTGCGTGCGATGTGGGATACATGCGCAGTACTTTGCGTGTGATGTGGAATACATGCGCAGTACTTTGCGTGCGATGTGGGATACATGCGCAGTACTTTGCGTGCGATGTGTGAAACATGCGCAGTACTTTGAGTTCAATGTGGGATACATGCGCAGTACTTTGCATGCGATGTGAGATACATCCGCAGTACTTTGCGTGCGATGTGGGATACATGCGCAGTACTTTGCGTGCGATGTGGGATACATGCGCAGTACTTTGCGGGCGATGTGGGATACATGCGCAGTACTTTGAGTTTTATGTGGGATACATGCGCAGTACTTTGCGTGCGATGTGGGATACATTCGCAGTACTTTGCGTGCGATGTGGGATACATGCGCAGTACTTTGCGTGCGATGTGGGATACATGCGCAGTACTTTGCGTGCGATGTGGGATACATGCGCAGTACTTTGAGTTTTATGTGGGATACATGCGCAGTACTTTGCGTGCGATGTGGGATACATGCGCAGTACTTTGCGTGCGAGGTGGGATACATGCGCAGTACTTTGCGAGTGATGTGGGATACATGCGCAGTACTCTGCATGCGATATGGGATACATGCGTAGTACTTTGCGAGCAATGTGGGATACATGCGCAGTACTTTGTGTGCGATGTGGGATACATGCGCAGTACTTTGCGTGCGATGTGGGATACATGCGCAGTACTTTGCGTGCAATGTGGGATACATACGCAGTACTCTGCATGTGATATGGGATACATGCGTAGTACTTTGCGAGCAATGTGGGGTACATGCGCAGTACTTTGCGTGCGATGTGGGACACATGCGCAGCACTTTGCCTGCGATGTGGGATACATGCGCAGTACTTTGTGTGTGATGAGCGATACATGCGCAGTACTTTGCGTGTGATGTGAGATACATGTGCAGCACTTTGAGTGCGATGTGGGATACATGACAATACTTTGCGTGCGATGTGAGATACATGTGCAGCACTTTGAGTGCGATGTGGGATACATGCACTGTACTTTGCGTGCGATGTGAGATATATGTGCAGCACTTCGAGTGCGATGTGGGATACATGCGCAGTACATTGCGAGCAATATAGGATACATGCACAGTACTTTGCGTGCGATGTGGGATACATGCGCAGTACTTTGCGTACGATGTGGGATACATGCGTAGTACTTTGCGAGCGATGTGGGATACATGCGCAGTACTTTGCGTGCGATGTGGGATACATGCGCAGTACTTTGCATGCGATGTGGGATACATGCGCAGTACTTTGCGTGCAATGTGGGATACATGTATAGTACTTTGCGTGCGATGTGGGATACATGTTTCACCTTTTGAAGGAGTTTACATCAATATTATTATGCTGTAAAATTGTATTTCACTCTCATAGATTACTGTACCTAACTTATGACTGAATATTGAAAACATTCTTTCAGTGAGTGCCATTGCTGTTTGAAAATAGTATATGATAATTACCAGAGACGGTGAATATACAAAAACGTTATGTTTATTTCTGGCCATCTCAAGAAAACAATAATTTGAAATGAATTCAACACAAATTGCAATTCAATACAAACTTTTTCATTCAGCAATGTTTTTATCTTTGTGACAGGATGAAATTTTCTAGGCTAATTAATTTTTATGATGTAAATCCAATATTCATATTGGACAAAATCAAGCTCATTCCACTGAGTCGTTTTTGTTGTTATTGCTGTTGTGCCACCGTTATAGAAAACAATTGTAATTTATTACTTTATCAAGCTCGCATATTACAAATGAAATCTGACATCAATCTGCTCAAGAATGGGACATGTGGGCATGCATGCATACGTAACGAGATGTTGTTCATTTAGTTTGAATTAGTATGGGATTGAGGGATGCTACTGGTAAACCTTGATTACTGATCTTTGTCTTACATACAGATTAGGTATGATTAATGTTGGTGGGGCCAACCTGCATAATTGATGAGATACATCACTAAACATTTTCTAATGCTCGTTGAATGTTTGTCCTTGTGAATATCGATCGTTGATACATGAATAGATGGAAATAGAGGTAGATGAAAACGGCATTCAGCTTGTTGTACTTAAAGTGTTTGTATGTTTTCCCGTCGAAATTGATTGTTATATGTCATTATTTAATGCATATGTTGCATTAACTCGCTGAATTTCCTGCTTTTGTTAATAATGATTTTTTTAGTGTTTATCTTATGCTATTCAGTTCAATTATTATTTCACATTATAAGTGTCATATTTGTTAACACCACGAGTCTGTGACGTACACATACAATGCAATTGTGATGCAAACGTGATGTCACTTTTTAGGGTGTGTGCGATTTTTTCAACCTCGAACGCAGCCTTGGTGAATCAACTGAAATCAACGTGCATGTACTATTCGTAGACTGGTGGACATTGAGTTTACACGTACGCAATTTTATTCCATCAACATTTTAAACATCCGTTGGATACACATACAAATATTTCAACCATGCCTCGGCTCTTGAGTTTTCGACGTGTTCGAATATTTAGCTATAATAATGATTCGAATCTATATAATTATTTAACAGTGCATAGACTTGTTTGTTTACTGTTGATTTTATGAAAGATTGTGACATAATATACATACAGTGATAATTTGAGACCAAATTCTATGGACCATTATGAAACAAATGTCAATAATAGCTACTAACAATAATGTCAATTTTGTAAATCCTCGTGACTTAAACTTTCGAATACCATGTAAGACACTGTGTATTATTTGTCATCTATGTCACTGAGCACAACATTCGGATAACAAGACTCCTCGGCGCCACAGGAAACAATGATATATAACCTAAAACACAGTTTTCACAGAATTTACTGAATTCATACTTTTAGTTCATCTTTTTAGAAACTCAACATGTAAAAATAAAGAAAATGTCACTATTCTTGCTATTGAGTAGCGTTCTAGCTTAAGAAAACCATTTGTCAAAAACATTTTTAGATCGATTTGATATGACATTTTTCAAATTGATTCAATGTTTCCGCCGAGAGCAACCGGAACCCTGAAGTCCAAATGAGCTACATTAAGAAACAATGTATTTGTGTGTGTATGGATTTCATTGGAACTTAAGATGTTTTTTAAAGGGAGAGTTTGTTTTCTGTTCAATCATAAATCGAATAACCAAAAAACATGTTTGTAGTCATTGCACGCCTACGTCACTGTCATTGATTTGTTGAAAGTGTTACTTCGAACATGTTTGTTCTTTTTGGCACGAATCACGTGCTGAACTGATCAGGAGGAGAATGACCGGGACAAGATAACGCATGACTACTGCATTAAATTGTTTGGGGTAAAACTTTCATGTTCAGTCATTATATTGACAAGTTTTAGTTTTAAAATAACGGGTTAAGTCATGTAAGGACACATCCTTCTACAAACAGAATGTTTTAACCCAGATAAATCAAATGATAGCGATTAGCATCTCTGATGGGTACACACTAACCACGTGTTCAACACGTTGGTCGTTATCAGATATCCATTAAGATCACGGTATACCACACGATATTGTTCCGACATGTCACTTATTATCGATGTCCCTAATTTACTGGGTCGTAATTTAAAGACAACTCAACTTCAATCAGCAACGCAACGTATCAATACATGAGTCCTGCACATAAATGGTGCATACGTAGTGTGAATCACAGTTATGGAAACGGGAAAGCCTGACATCCAAGCACGCTTGAACCAGAACGAAACTCACTAAATGTGCTCATTGTTTAACATTTTGTACCAATACATGTATGTGCAGCCGTTGGGCGCATGCGCTTGGTGCACTAGGTCAATATAGTTGTGCGTTCGGAAATTTTAAATTAGCCAAACCCATTATGCGATTTATCGTGGGTGTTTCTCTGTGCGAATTTCACATGCGCCAATTTCTTATTCTACGCACTTCTCAGCGCATGCGCCGTATGAAGATTAATATCATTGTAGGTGGGAGCTAGTGATCCCAACATCGAACTTGAGATAATCCTCTGCTCATTTCCCTGTCCAACACAACTTTGGTTTAATTTGTTTCAGTAGATGATTTTAAAGTCTGTGTGGATTTTAAAACACCTGTAGCTTGCATTTATTATCGTACAGAGTACTATGTATGCTTTGTCATTCAGTAATTTTCTCCCCTATAAAAAAACTTGGCTTGATTATATAATTTTCATTTCAGGTGATAATGGCGGAGGCAGAAGGAGACACAGTAGATGATCCAGTGACGTCATACCTGAAAGCTTACCATTCATGTATATTTTCCATGTGGTTAAAGCCTTATCCGGAGGTAGATGCAGGTAAGTACGTGACTCAGATCAAAGAGAGGGTCACAGTCTTTGTGTACATAGTGCTGCATGGAACGAAAAACGTACCTTACTGATTGTGTAACACGTATATATCTTTGCGACCAAACTAGAACCCTATCATAAAAGGCATACAAGCGCGCTCATTATTTGTGACTGCAGGTCAAGTCAGTTACCGCGACAATTGTTCACACGTTGCAAGACGTAGCATCGTCACTCACGCAACACTCGTAGCAATACCCAGAAACGTAATCATGTGCCAATGCAAGAACCATTAAAATAATAAAATATTGTTTTGGTTACATCACCATGACAACGTCCATGGTTAAAGTAATCGTTTCTGCTTGCAGAAGTCTGTCTGTATGTGTAAAAATCACCTAAATATATTGAATCCAAATATTATCCCGATTATTACATCATAACTTCAAATTGATGGCAGTACGCACAATTAACTGGTTGAAAATTTTTAAAAAAAATGTGCTTTATTAAAATTAATAGTATTACCAAACAAATTCAACGGACAGTATCTTGACCCTGCACGGAGACAGATAAACCACGTGTCAGTGTGCAGATCAGCCGCAAATAAGTACATCTTTGAGGGATGACGCAATTTCCCTAATTTCCGCCAACGGAGCTCGTCGTCATTCCCCCGACCGAGTCATTAGTTTGCTTGATTGCTTGTCGTGAATCAGCATGAGATAAGTGTATTCTCGGTAGAACACTACATTATATTCGTAAGGAATAAGTACTAGTTGATTATTAACAGACAAGTTTACAAATAAATATATATACTTTATATAATTCAGTTATATTTTTCATTAGCGCCTTGATTTTTTCTTAATCTTATGTATTTATTTCTATTTAAAATGTATTACATAAATAAATATTACTATTATTATAAAGAACAAAATGTAGAAACCGAGAAATAAAAAAAATCATATCTGCTGCATAATATCTGCATTGCATTGCTCTCGTTTGTGAATAATATCAGGCACAGTCAGCGTTGTATTATTTGGGTCACGCGCACGCGGTAATATATTCACATGCATGCACTTTTTTACTTGTTTTACACTTCAAGGTATCGATGCACTTAGTTAAAGATACAGAAAACATACGCCAATATTGTACGTGTGATCGTGTTTTGTTTGGAAACGAAAAAAAATGCTACAGAGTAACATATGCCCATCAAATATCATGTAGTGTTTTTCACTTTTAAAAATACATGCTAGCACAACAAAGAGTGAATTCTACATAAGTTGTTATGAGTCCCGTGTTTGTTTGTTTTTTGTTGTTGTTTTTTTGTTGTTTTTTTTTTTGTGATTTTAAAGGTGTTCTGTTTTAATGAACATTTTTTCTTAAAGATCTAGTTTGTAATAGGACCTGGGATGGACTATCTTGCTGGCCAGATGTAGCGGCTGGGACGGTCGCCAAAATGCCTTGTCCTGTGTATCTCTTCGGCGAAAATGACGGTATGTACACCGAACTTGTCTTCATAACTTTTTTTTCCGTAACGATCAGAAGCTGTTTAAAGGCGATGGTTCACGGCGATGTAGTAACCAACTGTCGCAAAGAGGCTCTGTTCTTAAATGACATTGTTCTTTCACCACATTCGTGATTAGAAATTGACACGTAAACAATTTCATTACCAATTATTAATTCACGTTTAAGCATATCTGGACTAGTCACGAGAATATATTTTACCTCCTGAATTCAAACATTTTCATTTTGAAATTAAAGTCAATTCCAAATATTATTGTTTTGTTAGTGTTTTGACCTTTAATCCTTTCAACGTCAAGTCAACTTTCGTCACATTTAACAACCTAAAATAACCCAATAATTTTTCCATATTTTGTTCAAATGCTGATCATGATCTGTAGCCAATATGGATATATATTTTGTTTAAAATTAACAAATATATTATTGGCAAACGCTTGCAACACAATTTTGGAGGTAAAATTGGTGTTCAATTAGTTATATTCAAGGGGACATTGTTTGTTCCTCTTATCTCAACGATTAGTCTAATATACCAGTCAAGCACTGCCAGTTGTAGCTGGTTGCTGCGTCTATGGTGCGGCTTTTTAGTCCCTTGGAGCGTGCATTTGCGTTCGCAGGATTTATTTTTCCTGCCTGCATTTCTATTCCTCTATTGAAAGGCGACGTAACTGAGGCTCGTTCTCATATCCTATTTCGTTATTGCTCCGTTACCAAAGTGTCTTGTCATATTTATGTTTACAGCTCACGTCTACAAATTCTGTGACGTCACTGGTCATTGGCATGTGGGTGCGGAGCAAAACCGTACATCAAGTAATTACAGTGAATGTCATGCTTTGCCTAAAAAAGATGACAACGGGGAAAGTATGCAAGTAAATACACCCATTATATAATTATTTTCTAATCATATGAATAAACAAAAAGTTCATTAGTGTGCGCTATATAACATCATAACCTTCGATATGTCTTCCCGCATTGCCATACATTATCGGGTGATAGCGTCATGATACTTCGATGACAGCAACACATTGGCGCTGAATCTACGCAACACTATAATTTTTAATTCGCCAACGAAAAATCATTTATACGTGGAATGAATCATTTCAAGTCAAAATAATCATATTAAAAAATGCAATAATGTAATAATATTTTGGAATAATTACACATGGGATTCTGAATTATCAAATACAGCACTCAATTGTGATTATTATATTATTTAATTTCAGGAATATCTTACCACAATAAGGATTATTTATAAAATAGGTTACGCCATGTCGTTAGTGGCCCTGACCATAGCCATGGGGATATTTTTATATTTCAAGTAAGTGGATATACTTATATTTTCTGCGAGTTGCGTATTTTATGTACTGTATGCTGTGTTAAAGATTGGATTATATCCGTGTTGTATGTTAGCACATGCTCACATTGTCATAATAGTATTTGTGAATCACCAATGCACAGACACTTGGAATTAACGTTACGTACAGGTAAACCAAAGCGCGTGCGCATTGCGGTGCATTATTTCTTCAATCCTGTACTATTTCGTGTTCGACCACAGTGATCTTTAGCTAATTATGTTGACTATCTTTAGTTGACTATCATTAACGCATGCATCATGAGGAATTAGGTACATGTAGGAACCATCGACAAAATACAAAGCCAGTAATTCCAAGTGACAAACTATCCAATTTCCGTAGTCTGCGTGCTACCACTATATTATGCTCGCTTTGGCTATTTTTATGTTGACACACACCCCTAATTATGAATGCAAAAGAAAGACTTCGTCTCCACAATATTATGAATCAGCGATAATATTCGCCGCTTTCTAGGGAATGAATAAAAACTGAATAAATCGACACGGCATAAATTATAAGTTTTCAATCATTTCAGAGTAAACGGCTGAATAAATACCCATCATTCATTGCATTGAGTGTAACAATCTGTCTTAATCAAGTCATGAGATTATACATTAATCGTGGCAAACATTCCTAACATTCCTAAAATCCCTCTTTAAATTCACGTATGAGGCATGTTTGATATTGATATTGATATTTATGTCTTGTAATTGTAATAACAGAAATCACAAGCATATTTTGTGTTTTTTTCTTTCTATTTGCAGGAAACTGTGGTGCCCGCGTAATATAATTCACATGAATCTGTTCCTGTCCTTCATTCTGCGCGCCATCATCGTATTTGTGAGAGACAGCATACAAGATCAGTCGCTCGCTTTGGTGGCTAAACATGAGGAGTTGATGAAAAATATCGATATCGATCATATTTTTAGCGGCAACTTCACCATTCCCAGTTTCTCTGTCAATACCGTTGTAAGTCTCGACCGTTGGTGGCGCTATGCCATTTTTATTTATTTATTTATTTTTATTTTTTGAACGTTTTATAGCAGCATCATGTTGTTGTTGTTGCTCGTACGTATGTTTATTGATGCCCGTAGACGTGGGTACGCATGCGCAGGCGGACATTTCGAAATATGATGTCGAGGTATATCAGTCTGGTTAATTAAACCATAGTCAGCTGGCGTGTATGATTATGTAATGCGTATGGAAATGAAGCAATTCGTTGAACTGGAGTTACAAACATATCGGTTACACTCGAGGGACATGCTATAACTGAACATTACACACCTTCCCTGTTTTATCCAATAAGCGAACGTTTGATGACTAAATATTTCCCCGTAATGAACTGCGATATCGATGGTTAGGAGATTGGCTGATGGCACGGCAGAACAGAGCTTTACGCCTTAAACAATACGCAGCGCGCTCATTGGCTAACCACATATAAAGGGTGTGTCAAGTATGCAAATAATCAGTTGAGCTATGTTCTTTATGAATGTGCATTCAACCAGTCTCTTAGCATATGCACAGCTAACCGTAGAACACCAAAAGAAAACACAAGCCGCGAATACACATTTTGTTTTTTTAACATTCTAAAATACCTCGATGTCGTGCAAATTCATAGAAGTTTTTTTTTTTATCCCTCCGGGCCTTAATTTTTCAAACAAGATTTACAACTCCGATAATGTAGATATTTTTAGTTTATTATTGTATTTATCTCATATTTTATTTTTTTTTATTTTTTACACGTTGCGTTTTCTGCGAGTGCCGTAATCTGGGAAATCTGTTCAATGCATAAATACGTTAACACTTATGTTAAATACTCACACATGGGGTACACTAAGTTGTACTACATATCTACATTTTGTAAATATATATATATCTCTTCTTATACTTACATTTAGACCACAGGCTGTAAACTGGTTCATACGTTAACACAGTACTTAGTAGCGTGTAATTACTACTGGTTGCTGGTAGAGGGCGTATATCTTCACACTCTGATTACAGTTGCGGTATTTTCGGAGAAGGCTGGTGTCAAGTGGTACATTGCGCTGGGATGGGGTGCGTAATACTTTCTTTCTTGTTTATATATCTTGAAATATACTGCGATGAAAAAGGTGCCTATAATACAGGGAACGGTGAAATTGAGTTGAAATAATGCAATAAATGTGCAGCTGGTAATGGAAATTGTTTGTTTCAGGTTTCCCGATGTTGTTCGTGATTCCATGGATTGTGGTGCAAGCAACTATAAACGACACAGGGTGAGTAAATTTCACTGAATTGTACGGTATTTCTGTTTATATTTTAGCATGTTTGTTAACAACAAACGCGCATGCTCTTTGAATTATTCGTGCGTATTAGTAATTGAAAGCACATGCGTATTTTATTGACCAAGTCCTATGATGTCTGATGCAGAAACAATGTTTTACCCTTTAAGATCAAAATATATAATAACAATACCTTATTGATATTTTGTTATTTATTTTTAATGGAGTTCACGCGAAATTGCCATATTGCATATTTAATCATAGATTTGATAAGCACAGAATTTCTCTCAGAAATTTGAACCTTGACAATATTGGTTCAACTACATGTAACGTACGATATACAGCTACTAGTATGTGCCGGATGGTGGACTCGTTAGTTGCATTCATCTTTTTTATGTTTCTGTTCTAAGTAACATCATTCCTATATTTCATATATCAACCGCAATTTCTTGTTTTGTTACATCAGGTGCTGGGACGCTGTTTATCACTCGCCATATTTCTGGATTATACAGGGGCCCGTTATGCTTTCCACTGCGGTAAGCTGCCTTCTTTGTCTGTACAACTCGTATATCATTCACGTAAACTGAGCGTGTATGAAAAATTGTCGCATTTGTCACGAACGATGTGAAGCAGACGTTCGAGTGGACACAACCATGTTTCACTCTGATTGTTTCACCCACTAATAATTTTCTTTTAGAAGTTCAAGATCAGTTTGTTCATATACTCAGTAAATGTTCCATGTTCATTATACCCTCATACGATACGTCATACAAATGGTGAGATCGACCTGAAGTGATTTTTATATTAAATTCAATAGTTTATTAATACTCACGTTATAATTAATTGCATCATATTATCGCACGATTCATGCAGCATTTCTCGGTTTGCGGATGTTGTAAGATGTATATAACTCTTTCATTCTGTTTGAGCGCAATGAATCCGACCGGCAATCGAGACACGGTGATTAACCTTTCGATGAATGCAATATCTTTACCGCATGGAATTCATCTAAATATTCCCGCAAAGCTAGTATTCTCATTTGAGGTATATTCATTATGTGGATGCTTGTCACGCGATTCGCGTAGCCAATCTCGTTTGGCTAATAGAAGGAACAACATTGTCAACGTTTAACACAATGCATGCCGGGATATTTTGAAACCTGTATTCTTGTTTATCACTCGATTTATTTAAAACATACTAACATATATTGATAACTAATTCCACTTTAATTTATTATGAATACATTTGTCAGAGATTAATACAACAGTACGCACGTGTGTTCAATATAGCAAGATGTTCCCTGCTATGCAATGTATGTATGACTGCTACCCAATTTTCCAGACAAAGTCGCCTTCATAAAACTTGAGATAATATATTATGTATGGCCTAGAGAAAACTTGAACTTATTTACTTTACTTATTAACTTGAGTTTTGGAGTCTGTCTAATATTTCAAAATAACAAACGGAAGAAATTAAATTTAACGTTTACTATTAAAACCCAGACTGAACAGTGGATTAGACACAGTGGATTAAACACTGAAACTTAATCCGCGTCTACACGTTGACTCGAATAGGGCGTGGAATCAGTCACGCTGTGATTGTTTTACAACTGATAGCTCGCGTCATGTATGTACAACTTGAGTACTGTCATAAGAAATATTACTATATTTGTTAAAAAAGAAGACTGTTGATATAAATTATAAAAATTCATGATATAAAAGTTTACTCATGACGGGCATATTTTTTGAGATTGCAATCTATAATTTAACTTTGGACTGGAAATTCGTGTGCAATCACACATACATTTATTTCAGTGCCCTGTGGTAAAACATATTTGCATATACGTAACAAGATTCGTCAAATCGGAAACTATGACGATCGTCCATGAAGTTGACTGACTCTAATTTGCGTGGCTCAACAGTGACGTGTCGGCACAATCTAACCCCACTTACGTGTGTTCTTTCTTTTTTTATATTTCAGGTAACCTTTCTCCTTTTTTTAAATATAATACGGGTCTTAGCTACTAAGCTTATAGCCACAAATGCAGCCGAAGCCAAAAAGCTAAGGTACAGGTACATCCCAATTTTATCTCCGTCTTCTCAAAGACTATTTTACTACTACTACTTAATTTCCTGCTAAGTTGTAAGTAATAAATATGAGTTAAAATAATATTAAACTGATGTCGATTCCCAGGAGTTTTCTCAAGTTAATTTGCATGTACAGAGGATGGCTCAGAGTTCATGTAAATAAGGTGTGTGTTTCACTCGAGGACCGAAATTATGGTAGCGCCCGCATGCAGCGATTTTCCAAAACTTTCGTTTTTGTTTTGGATGCATTCTGTTTGCAAGATTTTCCTATAGTTTGAATAATTTTATAAAAGTAACGAAAATATTTGTGAAAAATCACATAAAGTGATCATTTAATTACGGAAATAACGCTCCTGATTACAATGATTACAAATCATGATCTGGATTGATTGATCAAGACGTGATTGAACAAAACAAACGCATCCAGTTGACATTAGATCGCAAATTTTCGTACATTTATATGGCTTTCAGGTAACATATTTGATGAAATTGAAATTATAAATCTTCTGAAAACTCAAAAATGAAAAATTTGCTTAGTGAATACAGTTTAAACTTTGAGTGACAACACATCTTATCTACTAATTCTGAGTAAGAGCGCCCTCTGCAGATAGATTGTGCAATTGTAAACGTGATCTTGTGATTGTGAACGCATGTTCCTTTACAATATAGAATTGTAATAGCTAGCTTATGCCTAACTTAATCCCTCTTCTCTGCCTATCTTTCACTTTATGATCTGTCCTCATTTATCACGCATGCGTGTGATATGTGCATTCGGTGTTGATGGGCGCTCAATACTGTAATATTACCTTGGATGACGTCATTCAACTAATTACTAAACAATTTTCTCAATCAGGAAGTTAGCTAAATCTACCATGGTGTTAATTGCCTTATTTGGACTCTACTACGTCATCACCCTGGTGATCCCCCCGCAAGGCAACAATAAAGTGGAAAAATTCAGACTTGCCTGGGATTTGATTTTACCCCCATTCCAGGTAGGTATTTTGAATAATGATGTAATAACTTCATAAATGGCTGACTTAATTTATGGTTGGATGCGAGCAACTAATAAAATATGACCTTATGATGACATATGACCTTGTGATGACATATGACGTTTGATGACATATGACGTTTGATGACATGTGACGTTTGATGACATATGACGTTTGATGACATCTGACCTTGTGATGACATCTGACGTTTGATGGTATATGACGTTTGATGGTATATGACGTTTGATGACATATGACGTTTGATGACATATGACGTTTGATGACATAGGACGTTGTGATGACATATGACGTTTGATGACATATGACATTCGATGACATATGACGTTGTGATGACATATGAAGTTTGATGATATATGACGTTTGATGGTATATGACGTTGTGATGACATATGACGTTTGATGACATATGACGTTTGATGACATATGACGTTGTGATGACATATGACGTTGTTATGATGTTTGATGACATATGAAGTTTGATGATATATGGCGTTTGATGATATATGACGTTGTGATGACATATGACGTTTGATGACATGTGACGTTTGATGACATATGACGTGTGATGATATATGACGTAGTGATGACATAAGACATTGTGATGACGTTTGATAACATGTCGTTTGATGACATATGATGTTGTAATGACATATGACGTTTGATGGTATATGACGTTTGATGGTATATGACGTTGTGATGACATATGACGTTTGATGACATGTGGCATTTGGTGACATATGACGTTTGATGATATATGAAGTTTGATGATATATGACGTTTGATGGTATATGACGTTGTAATAAAATATGATGTTGTGATGAAATATGACGTTGTGATGCATATAACGTTTGATGACATAGGACATTTGATTACATAGGACATTTGATAACTTATGACGTGATGACATATGACGTTTGATAACATATGATGTTGTGATGAGATATAACGTTTGATGACATATGACGTTGTGCTGACATATGACGTTTGATGACATATGACGTTGTGCTGACATATGACATTGTGATGACATATGACGTTTGATGGTATGACGTTTGATGACATAAGACATTCAACGACATATGACGTTTGATGACATATGACGTTTGATGACATATGACGTTGTGCTGACATATGACGTTGTGGTGACATAAGACGTTTAATTGTTTGACGTGTCATGACATGATGACCTTTGTTGACATGACATATGACCTTCGATGACCAATGACATCATGTTATACTCATTGGAGAATATCGTAATTGTTTCATTTGGTATATGGCACAGACTACCTCATTCGCCGAAGGCAACGAACAAAATATATAACTGCTAAGAAATTAAATTGAGCCATGCACGTTTACTGATATTATTTTGTTGATCACTCGTTTTTCACGGTAACCTGAGGAATACTGCTCCAAATCAACGTTGACAAGTCAAACCCAAATACATCCGTTGTTGCTTGGAAAATATAATATATTTGCATATCATATAGGCCTTCAAGCTTATGCACATTCGTCTTACTTGTATAGCCCGTCTATGAAATGATTCAGTCCAACTCGAAGACGAAGTTAAACTTTCCTTTTGTGAATCACCTAAACTAAATATTGACGGGACACAAATAACAATTGTGTATAGCTAAAGATACTTATTAAAAACTCTCCTTTCACTCCCTAATAACATATCTCTGCAAACAGTGACGACATTTGCGGCTTGTCGATATCCTCAACGCGAATGTCAGTCGCATTAATAGCTGTGTCCAGGCGCGCCTATTCGGTTCGACTTGGATTGCTCTAGCCTGCTCATGCAGACAATCTGATCTGATAAGGCTCTGATTGCGTGAGCGCTATTGGATCTTTATTCGGGTGACCTTTGACCTTTTGTTATCACCATGTCATCAATGGTGCCGGCTGGTTATCCACGATAATGAATAAAAACTCTTATATAAATATAACTAGGGATACATCACATTACAAATGTACTTTAAACGTTGCAGTTGTCACGTAGCAAATCGGTTATTATAGCATAAGTGGTACAAGAAAGCCGGTTTCCTGACGATTTATTTTTTCAAAGAAATATTTTCTTTGTAAAAAGTTTAATCTATGAATAATGCGCACTCCACCTTCCACTAAAATGACAGCTGTATAATTTAAAGTGAAAGTGCTTTTTAACTTGAGCGGACATTTTTTTTTTGACCATTTCCACATTGAATCCCGAATTTAGGTTAAAACATTTTTTTTTCACTGATTAAGTAAGTCCATTATAATCATTATAATATATACGCCAAAAAAACATAACAAATAACTGACGCGTTGTTGGGCCGATTTTTGGTTCGAACCAGCGTGTTCGTCTGAACGCAGTAAATATGTGTAAATTGCGCAATGATAAGTGGATGTTGTCTGAAATTCCATGACAGGCATATAGTGTTACAGTGACATTTCCAAATTGCCGGAAGATTCGGGTCCCCAGTAGACGAGCCCCAGGGGGGGGTCACTCTATATTTAAATCTTACACTGGCACCATGTGCATTCTTGCTAAAAAATAATAGGCCCCTAGGGCTGAAAACACATTGGCAAAACATACCCCCTATTGCGGACGCAATGTAAATTTAGTGCCCCTAGAGCAGACATGTTGATCAACTCAAACAAGCTACTTATGGTTGCTGTGTATGCAATTCCTGTTGGTGTCATTCGTTGTTTTATGGGTCCGCCAATTCGGGGCCTAGGTCGGTGCATGGAAGTGGTTGTTGCAAGAAGGGGTCTACAGCAGGCGCAGCAATCCTGTGAGTTTAATCCTGGGGACCTATTACAGAAATTATCATTTTAAAGGGGGCATATTTGCCTGCCGCGCGGGCCAGCTTTAGAAAGTGAAAAACACCCTCCTTTCCCGCTAAATTTGGAACGCACATGGGCTAGTAACGGCATATAGAGTGAACCCCCCGGGGACGAGCCATTTTGTGAAATTGGAAAAGCAAAGTGCATGCACAGTTGTAATTGTAATTGTACAAATGAAATTCAATATAACCTTCACGTAAAATAAACGTCACGGTTTTATTTGTTCTTCCAGGGATTGGCTGTAGCTATTTTATACTGTTTCATGAACGGTGAGGTTAAAGCGGAGATCTCCAAAAGATGGCACGTCAGGCAGCTGACACGTGATATTAATGCCAGTCGAACTTACCGCAACGGACACTCCTCTACATTTACCAATTTGACCCGAAAGGACTCTCCATCGGCCATGGTCAAGGACTCACCCAGGAATTCACCGACGGTGTTGAAGAAGAATGTTGGACCGGAGTACATGCAAATGATGGTTGGCAATGGCAGTGTCGATAAAGGGAATATAGAGTACGAGGACGAAATCGATGTTGGTGTTCCCGCTATTGACACTAACTCTAACGAGAATACTCCAAAGTGCGGGCGTGTCGACGGAATGGACAATAGCGAAGGGAACAAACCCAAAATAGATGATGTCCCCAATTCAACGAGGAAGGCACAGTCGCCCGCAAGAACGGGTCGAAGTAATGATTACGATAACGCACTGAAAACAAACCCGAATAAATCACCTAAGCTGAAAAAAGAATATAACAGAGATATGACGTCAGAGCCAGAATGCCTCATCCCACTGACGAGAGGAAACTTGTCCGATCCCAACAAGCTTTCCATGGAAAGTGTTGTGTAAAAAGCAGCGCGCGTATTACGTCATCTGGCTGATTATGTCCACTTTATAATGGTACTACTAGTACTATTTATAATAAAAATAACTCACAGTGACGATAATATGAACCGTCCATAGAGGAAAGTTGAAACAGACATAGAGTCAAGTGAGAGGAGTGACGGAAATGTACATACCTCAATTGCATAGTGTATCTAATCGGGATTGTCGGTGAACTTGTCACGAACATTTATAATGGTGTGTATATACAATGTGTATACATTAAAAGTTGTGCCCCGTTTTTATATATCTGTGAAACTTACAAAACGTAACAAATATTTCTTGATATTACGACTTGCTTTTCTCTTTGCCATGTCTTTGCCAAACGCGTTGAGGAACTCGTTTCAGATATCTTCTGGGAAAAACGATATTTTTATGTGTCAACTGTAACACTGCATTGCGCAGAAATACTGCGCATCATCTTAAAGATGTATTCGATAACCTAGTGTGCGCAACTGGATGCGCAGTACATGTATATATCACAGACTTTATATATGTTATTCTTTTCCTTCGTTTTCGTCTTTAGTGTCATATTTTTATTGAAATTCGTGGTCTTACTAAATCAACCAACGTTATACACAGACTGTTTTTGGTAGACGGAAAACACGATGTTGTACTTAATATACACCTACTGTATATATCATATCAAAACTACTAAGTATTACTGTACATTATTATTACCCGCCAAAGATATACGTTTTACCAAAAGATATGGACAATGGGTAGTTAGAATTATAAATATAAGTTACCATACAGATATATTACATTCAATATTTCTTATTTACTGTGAACACACGATTTCTCCTGAAGGCACTGTATAATGATTCGGTTGGCACATACAATACATTGTGACGCGAGGCCATTCGCCACTTCAAAAAGCTGCGCAAAACAGCCGAGCAGACGTGGAGTTTACACAACACTAACACACTATGTTAGGCCAGGCAACACTGTGCCATGTTGCATTGCACTACACAACACTACGATGTGCCAAACACTATGCCACACGGCACTGCACTGCGCTACTGCAGATATACACCACGCCAGCTATCACTACACTACGCCAGATATACACTACACCGGATTTACAATACACCACGCCGGACTATATACACTAGGCACAATTAACGCCACGCCGCACTAAACTGTTATACTACACCACGTATACCCTACGCCACACCGCACCGCTCTACACTTTTGTTTTGTCCTTCGTATCTTCTATCTACAGTAAATTTTATATTTTAGAATAAAATTGTCTATAAATCGTATTATTTGAGTTATTATTTTTATATCGTTATCGGATTGGGACACCAAATGCTACCTTATATGATGATTTAGAGATTATCAACAGCAAGCGAAAATATTTGGTTTCGGATATAAGATCGCTCTGGGTTCAATTAGCATATCAGCACCCAATCGTACACATGCATTACAATATAGACAATATGCAAAATGAGCAGATTAAGCACATTTCTGAGCAAATGTGTGAATAATTCTTAGTGACATACATACAATTCAGATTTGAGTATGTACATACAAGGTTTAATCCAATTTGCCATTACAATAATAATAATATAATAATAATAATTACAATAATAACGGACTAAGTTGCGTATTTCATAGATCTAAATTTAATTTAATATATTTACTATTATTACAGTATGGGGAAATTTTTAGTTTTCGGGTCCTTTTTTTATCTGTAACATTCGATTGATTCACTGACGTGCATTTATTGCATTTATGGGTGTTAGTACACTGTGAATGATATGATGTAACAGCGGAATCACCAATCACCTGATTTATAATTCTGACGATCATACAATTGTTTCGACCGAAACGGCCCAGAGATTTAAATTAATGAAATGAACAGAACAGTTAATCAGACCCTGATTTCCCCGTATAGATAATTTTATCACAACTCGTTCCTATTTTCGTATTTCAAAACCAGACTTCGGGTCACGCTGAAATCCGTTGCATTATTGGTAAATGGCAAATTTACGTAACATACTAGTAACTATACATGGCTATGTGAATACTAAGGGATAGGCCATTTTTTGCTCGAGGTCACTGTGAAGGATAGAATCGGAATTAAACGTTGTTTGCGTTAACAAATAACATAACACATAACAAATCTTTCGAATTTCGACCTAGTGAAGAAAATCGACAGTACAGGAGTTGCATCCAACCGGCACAACGACTTCATCGAAATACTCCAGTCAAATAATCAGCAAAATTACGTTTTCGCAGTTCAGTGATGGGTTAGAGAAGAGTACGATTCCCGTCCTCCCTAAGATGACCTACATGTCAAACAACGTCAAGGCGAGTTAGAGGCAAAGAAATTATTTTACGTCTTAACGTAGAGGGCTTCCTTCACAGGTAAGCAAGACATCAACGCGTAGATATGATAATAGGTAATGTACTACTATGTTTTTAAACAGAACATTTTAGTGTGAGCTCCCTGTTCCGGACGCGTTCTCAAAACTCATTCATTTGACTGAATTATGAAACGTCAATCATACAGTGTATTTAATCGGAGAACCCAATTCTATCACAATTGAGCATCTATTATAATGCGTGAATTTTGCATATATATGAATGGCAACAATTAATGGTTTCGTCACCAGAATAAGTATCAAATTAAACAGAGCAACATTTTGGTTTGCATTGGTGAAGCGGATGAATAATGTCCCGCCTAAAGTGAGTAGAACAGTGTCAACCACTTTTAAAGCACTGTAAGCAATGAATGGCATGAAGATACTATGATGCCACCAGTAGTTTGTCTGTATCTGTCTGCAAACATAATATAATATTTCAATGACTCAGTATTACTATATTTTGGAATTGTTTATCAAACTAATGTATTCTCGTCATTAAAGATTTCTTTGATTCGCGATATCATCGATGCGATCTTGTCAGGGACAGCCATCCTAGATTATTGTGAATGTTGTGAATTATAAATACAAAATACAAATTAGAGTTGAACTAACCACAACTTTTTGATGTTATTCCGACGAACAAGTTTATAATTGCGATGAAACTAAATTATTTTGGAAGCTGTTACCGTTGAAGTCGCAGCAAACGCAGCAAACGACCCACATAATATCTGACACATACAAACTAAACAACGCATCACTGCAATGTTTACAGCAAACATAATCATGATCTTATTCGAATACTGCCTGACACATATGATGATACATCATACCATTTGTAAATATGTTTTCTAATCTTTCAATTAACTAAACCAAGGGTTTATATGAGCTTTTTATTTGTTTTCAATGTACGACCCCCCTCTTTCGCGAGGTCCCTCGGTAAGTCGCGGCCCCGATAAGTCGCGGTTTTTGCTTGGATCCCGACACCCGCGACTTAGCGAGGGGCCACTGTAATTCAATGACTCAGTACTACTATATTTTGGAATTGTTTATCAAACTAAGATTCAAATCAAGATTTTTTGATTCGCAATATCATCGATAAGTTCTTGCCAGGGACAGCCATCCTAGATTATTGTGAATTATAAATACAAATTAGAGTTGAGCTAAGCATAACTTTTTCGATATACTTTTTATCCATTAGAAAACATTATAACAAATGTGTAAATACGATGTGAAAGAAAAGATGTATGCTGGTAATCTAGTGTAGACCATGTCATATTATTGGCCATTTTCATTATTGAAGATAGAGAGGTTATTACACTTTATAACGCACCGTTTTGCTCGAGTGAGCTTGGTATTTTTAGTATTTTTCTTGGTCTTTTGTCGACCTAGGCCACTCGGAACATTATGAGATATGATAGAGAGGGATTGTCGTCTAATACTTTGGCAATGGGACCAATCGCGGCCATTCGACGGAGAATTCGGCGTGAATCCGACCATCAAGTAGTAGTCCAACAAATGGGAGTACGAAATGGCTCCAGAAGGTCTGGAATTCGTGGTGACATCAACAATTACATTTACCGATCCACCGTGCGTTGTTAACTGTGCCACTTATATTCAAGTTGTGGGTGAAAGATCCGACGCTAATTTATTAGATTCACGCTGAATCAACACACAAACAGTGAGTCCACGGATGATGAACATTTTTAAATACTCTGCAGTTCATCTTTGAGTTATGTGTTGATCATGTGGTATATCATATCATCCATTTTACAACGCAAACTATAAATGCATTTAGATAAATTAACTGTATGGCCATAAGAGCAAATGAACATTGAACAAGTAGTGATATTAATAACTTAGTAGTTCTTTTAAATCAGGTGAATACGTTCAATGGTTTCCTTCTTTGTGCACAACCCATTTTATTTGTTTCTATAGTTGTTCATTCAACCGTATAGGTTTGTGAGAATCATTTTGCGTGTAGGCCCCAAACTAAAGCCTGCTCGTAACTTGAGGTGACCTTCGAACCTTTACGACATTTGACCTGTTTTGCTGCAAATACTTCTTACATAAATCTAGAAGTAAAGAAACACATTGAATAGTATTTCAGGATTTGCCAATGTACAGTCATGCCGGAGGACGCCATGGGAACCCTATATCGGATTCTGACCACTTATATATGCTCGGTACTCGGTGATCACACCACCTCATGTGTTGGTTAATTGAAGAATTTCGGAACAATGAGCCAACTGTGCATGTGGTCATCGGTGACTATCTCCGAGCTAGCTCTCCTGCATGGGTGAGCAGCGGCACATTGCATCTGTTCATAATTTGGATTTGAGAGCATTCCTGGCGTAGTGTACTGTGAATCCCGTAATGCATGTAAGTAGGTTAGTTAGTGGCTTTAAAATACTGTTTAACATTGCTATAAAAGAACGAAAAAAAAGACTATCAACCATCCCAGACGTTACTTTGTAGATGACGTCACCAATAAAGTGGGAAAGTTCACATAAAACAAAGTAGTACTATTCAAGTTTGAATTTCTGTGACAAGCTGTATAATCATTCACCCAGTGCAAACAGACACCTATAACAAAGT